GAAAACGTGCTTATATATATGGGAGTATTATTGTATTATTTATTACATTTATTATCTTTTTCTTTCGAATATCTAAATCCACTCCAAAATAGAATAAACTTGCAATGTTGTCCTTAGCATTTGAGTATCACGATTCATATTTGTTTTAATTTTTTTATTGGGGAGCCGTATCAACCAGACATGATTTGGTCTATTTTTATTATTTTGCTCTAAAATTAGATGTCTTACCGAATAAGGAATTGCTTTTTTTCACTCTCGTGCATCTATTACTTATTTTATTTAACATTTTTTTTTGTAAAGAACTAACAAAGATAAAAGTGTATATTTTAGACGAAAATTACTTGATGGGCGTGGTAAATAACATATTTTGCATCAACTAAAATGATTGATTTTAATCTTATCTCAAATTTGATAAATTAAAAACAGATTTAAATTTGATAATAAATCATTATCTCATTCTTATATATAAAAAACAAATATTTACTTTATTAATATCAATAAAAATAATTAATTAGTTTTAATTAATAATATCATTATTTAATATTTAATTCCAAAAAATCTATAAAAGTAAATGGTGCAAGTAGAAAATAGGAGTGATAATGGATGGATCTAAATTTTTTTTAAATCAATCATAATAAATTGGATAAAAATAATTTAACAATTTATTTAAATCTATTAAATTTCACTTAAAGATAAATCATATGTAATAATTTTTAAAATAATTATTTTAAAATTATTTCAAAAAATATTTCTTAATTAATTGATAATATAATTTTTTATACTATCAATCCTATAAATTAAACTCTATCAATTTCCCTTCACTTGAAAATCAAGAAACTCAAGCACAAAATACAATTTTAAAGATAAACAAATAATTAAGTTCTAATTAACTTCTCTCGCATCATAATTAATCAATAAAAAGGTAGGAGAAAGTGGAATGACCACTTTGAGCTACTTTGCACCGCCACCTCCAACTATTTTGATTCTTGGCTTTGGAGCTTTGAAACACCTATGCAGCCATAGGATCTACAATCAGGGAAAGAAGAGAAAAAATTTGTAGAGTTGGAAGAGAAAATAGTTCTCCTTGAATTCTAAAGGTCCTCTCTTTAACTCCTCTATAATTTTCTTTAAGAATTAAACTTACGAAACTCAAGTTTTAAAGAAACCTTATATATCTTCTTGGGGCTGATCAATCTAACTTCTGCTCACAAAAATCCTAAATGGCTAAAACTTATAAGAATTCCTAAATTTTCAAAGTTTTTCAATAGTTAAACAATAAATCACCTCAATACATAATTTAATAAAAAATAATTATTAAAAAAAATGCACAATGTTACACTCACCAAAAGTTAAAAATTTGTAAGTAATTGTCTTTTTACATTTTTTCACAGATAATCTATTTATACATTACATGAGTTATTTAACACTTTATTTAACACTTTACAAATGTGTAAATATACAACACTTTTCTTGGAGAGGAGATTTATATTATGATTTAATTGATTTTAAATCAATGTGTTAAAATTTCATCGCAAACTAATATTGACTGAAATATAAGTTTCACTTTAGATAAATCATATGTAATAATTTTTAAAATAATTATTTTAAAATTATTTCAAAAAATATTTCTTAATTAATTGATAATATAATTTTTTATACTATCAATCCTATAAATTAAACTCTATCAATTACTTACTCCAAATTTCTCGTTTAAGAATAAATTTCTTGCACACATTTAATACTTCAACTTTAAAAGTTTTCTGGTATACAATTATGAAATTTTTTTAAATATGTACCGTATATTGTTCAAATAATTCAAATTAAAAATTACTAAATAGACCCAAAATCCACGTGACATGCACGATCAAGTCTATCCTTTGTAGGTACACAAACACAAATGTTAAAATAAATAAATAAATAAATAAATAAGACGACAGGGACATCTCTAGTTTGTCGGTGCTCTATCTCATAAAATATTTTCTTATGTACAATTAACTTAACTCGTTTGAGTATTCACCAAAAATAGCAAAATAGTGTTTTATGATATAATAGTGAATTGTGTTATATATGTAAGGGATAAAAATATAATTTATTTGACATTTTAACATATGAAGAATGAATAATGTAATACTTATGTTACTTATAGAAAGAGAGCGTAATTTACATTAATTACATTAAATTAAATGTACTAAATTTTTAATTCTTAATTAATTGATAATATAATTTTTTATACTATCAATCCTATAAATTAAACTCTATCAATTACTTACTCCAAATTTCTCGTTTAAGAATAAATTTCTTGCACACATTTAATACTTTTATTTTAAAAATATTTTATATCTCTCTTTTTTATAAGGCATTATATTATTATATAATATTTTAAAATTTATAAGATTTTTTTAATATTAAATTAGTCTTTTAAAATCTTAATTCAATAAATATCTCATTATAATTTAATGAATTCTGAAATACTAATGGACAACATTCATAAAATTAAATGAATAAATTTTATTCAATTTATTATTTATTTTATTGTAATAAATGAATTAGATAAATTTATTTATAGATAGATGAAATAGATGATGATTAAATGGATATATTTGTCACTCCTAACATATAATGAGTGGATGGCTCATTAATAGATTCATAATAAATTAAGAGAGAATTTTTTCTTACCAATTAATACATTTAAAAATAAATTTATATTTCTTATAATTAAGTCTAAAATAATATTCTCATTTATTTCTTATATATTAAATATTGAATATAGCATTAAACTCAAAAAAATAAAACGTAGTTAGAAGAAAAGATCTCATTAAAAGTGGTTAGTCAGGTTCATCAACAAAAATTAATTATTCGTGAAGTTGATAAATACTTTGTATTAATAATAAGGTTAAATTTTTTAAAAGAAAACAATTTAAATCCTTAAAAAAGTTAGTAATCAATTATAATCTTTATGAAGTGGTACCTTATATTAATCTAATTTTTTTGGTTAAAAAAAGCAATACATAATTAAATAAAATTTATATTAATGTTACTTTATAAGCTATAATGTAGTAAGTATGTAGGGATAGTAATGGGACCCCATGGGGCGGGTAATAGTAAGCCCGCCTCCGCCCCCGCCCCGTTAGATGAAAATTGGCTTCATACCCAACCTATATCAGCTCAGGTATCTATTAAGCGGGTATCCATGAATTTCTTGAATACCCGCGGATATCCATGGATATTTATAAATTTTTAAGAAATTAAAAAAATTAATTACAAATAATTTTAAGTTTATATTTAATGTAATTGAAATATTAAAAATAAAAATTTAATATTAATTTTGAACTTGTATTTAACGTTAATTTTGTTGAAATAATAATAAAAATGTAAGATAGTCAATAACTTAAAATACATCAATCTCACAAGTAAGTTAAAGTCTCATCACAAAGCTACAATAATTCAAACTCATAATTCCAAACGAAAGTAAACAACTTAAAATACATAAATTTTATTGGTCCAATCAAAGATAAAAAATTAATCAAATTATATCCAACATAATTCTATAACATGTTTAACACATGTTGGTAACTTCAACAACCTCACTTTTGTAAGAAAAAAAAGATGAGAAAGTGTAGTTTTAGGGTTGTGGTACAAGGATAATTAGGATATTTAAGAAATATTATTAAACGGGTACCCGCGGGTATGGATATCATCATACCCACCCCCGCTCTGTTTATAAACGGGTAAAAAATTATTCGTCCTCATTATCCGCGAGTACCCAATTAGCCTATCCATTTATTATCCGTAAGGAATTTTACCCGCAGATACCCGCGGGTACGAATATTTTTACCATCCTTATAAGTATGGTCTTTATTTTTTTTTACACAATAAAAAGGCACCAAAAAAATAGATGAAGAACTAAAAATTAATATTAGAATGAAAAATTAAAATAATAGTTTTTTAAAAAAATTTACTTTTTTTATTATTCTAACATGACATTTTTTTATTAAAAAAATTAAAATCTCCAACACGCTAAAACTCATTTTAATCTCAAACAAATTAATTATTTACAATAATTTATTTTTATTTTCTTCTTTAATAGTTATCATTATTGTCGTAAAAAGTAATTTGGTAAATAAGATAAATTATTTTGATTTAGTAGATTCTTAATAATATTTTTTTTCCATACAAAAATTACGATCATCATGTATATTAAATTCATTATAAATTAATGAAACATCTTAGTAGCACCTAAATTAATGATTGACAAATCTAACTTTGGATACTCTAAAAAGTATAAATTTAATTTGTTGTCTATATAAGCATTTTTTTTGAAAAACTAACAAACATTTTAGAAAGCAGGTAATTATGAATATTTTATATATTTATTAAACAGAAATTATTTTTATGATAAGCCCATGCTCGGTCCCTGCTTACCAAGAATGAATGAATGAATTGATTACTTGAAGGCCCACCAACCAGGTAATTCACCAAGCCATGTTCTCTCACACAAAGTAAAAGAAAAGCAGCCAAACAGTGTAAAAAATAAGTTATTATTTCCACCATGAATATATTAGAACACGTGCAATGGGCTGCTTATAAGCAACTCCTGTGTTATATCACTATTAAATTAGCACTGACCTATTTTATGGGTTGTTTAAATTTTAGCAAAGTTATTTTTAAAATTTAAACAACTTATAAAGTGAGTCAGAGCTGATTCGGTAGTGATGTGACACAGGAATTGTTTATAAGTAACCTCATTAGAGATGCTCTTATTACGATGTAAAACATAATTATCTTCTTTTTGAAAAATTATATTCTAAAAAGCTACAGAAATGAAATGTAATTGAAAAATAAATATAATAGTTAACAATACTGTATGTGTAAATTCTCTTATTAATATCAGTGTATGGATCATTATTATTTTTATTGACTTGGGTTCCCAGTAAATCGCAGGCAGCCAAATTCACTGTTTGTATAATTATTAGTATTATTTTTAGTTGCGCTTTTTATAAAGAGAAGGGAACGTGTAATTTTCATTACACAACCATTTTAAGAGATAGGAACCTCCGTCACTCACCGCCACCGGCTCTCCCTCCGATCAGGGCCACTTTGACCGCCGACATGTCTCCGGCGGCAGGACTCAACGTCCCTCTCCTGGGCGAATCCAAAGCGGCGCCGGCGCCGGCTTCGGTCCCCGGTGCGGTGTTCAATGTGGCGACCAGCATCGTCGGCGCCGGAATCATGTCGATTCCGGCGATCATAAAGGTTCTCGGCGTGATTCCTGCTCTCGTCATGATTCTCGTGGTGGCCGTGCTGGCTGAGCTATCCGTCGACTTCCTCATGCGCTTCACGCATTCCGGCGAAACGACAACGTACGCCGGCGTCATGAGGGAGGCGTTCGGATCTCCGGGAGCGTTGGCGGCGCAACTTTGCGTCATCGTCACCAACGTTGGGGGTTTAATTCTCTACCTTATCATCATCGGTAACGGAACTTCTTCTCTCCTTTGTTTTTTTTTTTTTCCTCTTTCCATTCAAATCATAGAATAAAAAAATAAATAAAAGGGAAAATACGCACTTTGCGTTGGTGTTTTCATCAAACTCATTTTGATTGGTGAGTTATTGCTTAGTAATTACTGATTTTTTTAAAATTTTAATATTTTCTTTTTTAATATAAATAGAAGATTTGGTTCTTTTCTCGATTGGATGCAGCTGAGTAAATAAATGTTTGTGTATTAAATATTTGATTGGATGCAAACGAACAAGTCAACAAGGTAATGCTGGAACATACATCACATGAATGGAAAATGAATCATCAACTTAATAATCTGGAATACTCAGTTCTAACAGGTGTTTACAGGACATGTAAATTTTTTTATCATTGAAAATTTTAGATACATATAATGAAGTGGTCATCGGAACTATCAATACTTAATACACTTAAACTACTTAATAATTTTTACTCTTTTTAGATCATTACTTTTTATGTTAAAAACTTTTACACACTTATTAATAAATATTTAATATTAGTATATTAAATTTAAAATACCTATATATAAAATAAGAACAATTATAATTATAAAAAAAAATTAATTGTCAAAAATATATATCAAAAATCAATGTCACTTGAAATATGTAAACCATCAACAAATTTTTGGAATAAAAAGAAAAGTGTTAAGCATAACAAATTATGGTCGGAGAGAGGACACAATTGAGTTGAAGTGGAGACACATTGAGATAGAAAGAGAAAAAATAAGAGAGAGGAAATGATTTTCAGAAAATAATGTATGTTGATGATTAGCTTGTTGAACGACAGGGGATGTGCTGTCTGGGAAGCAAAATGGAGGTGAAGTGCATTTGGGTCTTTTGCAACAGTGGTTCGGAACTCACTGGTGGAATTCCAGGGAATTCGCTTTGTTTTTCACCTTGGTCTTTGTAATGCTTCCATTGGTATTGTATCGACGTGTAGGTCAGTGTTAACAATTGAATACTTTGTTATATAACATGCTTTTTTGCATCTGGAATTGAAGAGATTCAAGTTCAACAACATAGACTCATGACTAACGTGTGTTGTTCTTTTTGGTGTTTTGGGATTGGTAGAGTCATTGAAGTACAGCTCTGCAGTGTCAACTCTTCTTGCAGTGGCTTTTGTTGGCATATGCTGTGGGTTGGCTATATCTGCTCTGGTGCAAGGAAAAACAAAAACTCCTAGATTGTTTCCTAAGTTAGACTACCAAACCTCATTCTTTGATCTGTTCACTGCAGTTCCTGTTGTTGTCACAGCCTTCACATTTCATTTCAATGGTAGTGGCTTAATGACTTTGCTCATTTTTTAAGGGCATGCCTATAAATTTTCTGTGCTGATGATTGTAAAATTTTGCATGCAGTGCATCCCATTGGGTTTGAACTTGCCAAGCCATCTCAAATGACAAAAGCAGTTCGATTGGCATTGTTGCTTTGTGCTGTGATCTACATTACCACAGGCCTATTTGGGTACCTGTTATTCGGGGATTCAACACAGTCAGACATTCTCATCAATTTTGACCAGAATGTTGATTCCACGGTTGGTTCCTTGCTCAACGGTTTGGTCCGTGTAAGCTATGCACTTCACATCATGCTGGTGTTTCCTCTCTTGAACTTCTCTTTAAGAGCCAACATAGATGAAGTTCTCTTCCCCAAGAAGCCTCAGCTAGCCACAGACAACAAAAGATTTGTGATCCTCACTCTGGTGCTACTTGTATTCTCCTACCTTGCAGCTATAGCAATCCCAGATATTTGGTACTTCTTTCAGTTTCTTGGATCATCATCCGCAGTGTGCCTTGCCTTCATTTTCCCCGGCTCTATTGTTTTAAGGTAATCTAACATAATCTTTCCCATTTCTGATTAAGTAAAGACCAAAGTAAAAATTGATTTGCAATCTTCTTTGTTATTAATGACAGGGATGTTCATGGTATATCAACAAGAAGGGACAAAATAATAGCACTGGTTATGATTATACTAGCTGTGGTGACAAGTGTGCTTGCTATTTCCACCAACATATACAATGCATTTAGTAGCAAGTCATAATGCTACATCTCTCATTTCTCACCCTCTATTATTGTTTTTTATTTATTTTAATTTTATAGAAAAATTTATTTGGGGAGAGGGGGTGAAAGACAAATATAGTTTGTGATGCTTGTGTTATTTTTTTTTGTATTTGGATGGCTTGTTGTTTATTGTAGAATTCATGTCTTGAGCAGCATTGTTATGTATATACTAAATATTGAAAGAAATGAAATCCAAAAGTCCACGTGATTGGTGACGAAGTTTGAGTCATATCTTATAAGTTTGTGCCGTTCAAGGATCCCGACATTGATGACTTGTGGTGGGGTACCTCGTTGTGATTTATTGCGGCTAAAACTCTATTTTGATCCTTTATAATAATTGTTTGTTTTAATTTAGTCTCACTTTTATTTTTAGTTTCAATTTGGTCCCATATTAATTAATTGATTTCAATTTGATCTCAAATAAATTAATTGATTTCAATTTGATCTCAAATAAATTAATTGATTTCAATTTGGGACTTCCGTCCAAATTATTTAAACGGAGTTAACTATTGGCCACGTGAATGCCACGTAGATGCATAGGTGGATGCCACGTGGATGACAATTTTTTTGAAAACACCTGGACCCAGAACGGCCCGTTCTGAAACCAGAACAGGCCATTCTGGTTTCAGAACGGACCGTTCTGGTTCCACACTGTTAAACATAAACGATCAATGATTATAGTTTACGGTTGTGAATCATGGAAGGAAAAAGACCCAAGGTATAAAGTATTTCAAACACTGAATTTGGAAATATTGTTAATGAAAATAAATAACTTCAATTGCTAAACAGTTAGGCTATACAGTGTATTATTAAGGACAATGCAATGTATCACTAAAGACAATGGTAGCAGATTTTATTTTATTTCAAACTGGAGTGAACCACTTACTACTAAATTGATACTATACAGTAAAAGATGAAATGACATGGTATTTTACCTTGAAGTCATTAACGATGTACCCCAACAACAACAACCTGTTCTATAAGAGGTAGAACCTGAAGTAAAGGAAGAGGATATACAAGACTAACATTTCACCAAACAACCATATGGAGGGACATATCTAAGTTAATTATTGTTTTCATTCTTTTTTTTATATTTTATTTTTATTATGTTTATCATATTAATTTTTATCATTTTATTCCTTTAATTTTAAATAAGTTACAAAAAATTATAAAGTGACACTTAAATATTTCTTCAGACAGAAAGAGAAAAAGAAAAAGTTATTACTTTATTTATAAGACAATTGTATTTTATAAAAATAAGTAATTTTAAAATTTTTACCATAAAAAAATATTTTTCAAAATTATTATATTTTTAATAAAATTAATAAAGAATATTTTATTCTCAGTTTTGGAACGGGCCCAGAACGGCCCGTTCTAAAACCAGAACGGCCTGTTCTGTTGCATCTGGAACGACCCGTTTCAGGTGCAAAATTAACACACCATGAGTGCATCTGGAACGGCCCATTCTGGTTTCAGAACAGGCCGTTCTGGTTCCAGATATTTTCAAAAAAATTGGCATCCACGTGGTATCCACGTATGCATCTACGTGGCATCCACGTGACCAAAAGTTAAATTCGTCCAAATTATTTAAACGGAGTTAATTGTTAGCCACGTGAATGTCAGGTGGATGCTACGTAGATGCATAGGTGGATGCCAAATTTTTTTAATGCACCTGAAACCAAAATGACCCGTTCTGGTTACACATGTTGTGTGTTAATTTTACATCTGGAACGGGCCGTTCTAGATGCAAAATTAACAAACCACAAGTGCAGCAAAATGGGTCTTTCTGAAACTAGAACAACCCGTTCTAGTTTTAGAACGGGCCGTTTTGAATTCAGAACATGTCGTTCTAGAACGCCAATCACATACGTACGTTCAACAAAATGTCGCAATGTGGTTCAAAAATTAAAAATAAAATTCATAACATAACATAAAATCAAAGACAGAAATATGGTTCAGAGACTGAAAACAAAAATTCATAACATAACATATATTAAGAAAGTTCAAAGAAATTACTGAGAAAGAAAATCATCTGAATAACACTAAAGGTGCCAATAATACATTTTATCCACCATATAACACTGAATGACTGATAGGATATCAAAATTATCTACTTGTACATGTGATTGTGTGGTGAAATGTTGGTCCTGTGTGTCCTCTTTCTCTACTTTAGGTTGTACTCCTCAAGAACAGGTTGCTGTTGTTGGGCTACATCGGTCAATGATTTCAAGGGAAAACACCATGTCGTTTCATCCTTGATTGTATAGTGTCGATTTGGTAGTAAGTGGTTCATTTTAGTTTGACTAACAATGAAATAAAACCTGCTACCATTGTCTTTAGTGATACACTACATTGTCCTTAATGATACACTGTATAGCCCAAATGTTTAGCAATTAAAATTATCAATCCTCATTGACAATATTACCAAATTCAGTGTTTAAAATATTTTGTACCTTGGGTCTTTTTCCTTGCTCGATTCACAACCATGATTTAGAATCACGGACGTGAACTATAATCATCGATTGTTTGTGTTTGGTATTCGGGAACTAGAACGGGTCATTCTAGTTTCAGAACAGGTCGTTCTGGTTCCAGATGCATTAAAGAAATTTGGCATCCACCTATGCATCTACGTAACATTCATCTGACATTTAAATGATCAACAATTAATTCCGTTTAAATAATTTAGACGGAAGTTCGACATTGCACTAATTTAAATTACACGTAACCAAATTGAAATGAAAAATTAAAATAAAATAAATTAAAAAAAAATATTATAAGGGACACCAAATTAAGATTTTAACAAGAAATATAATATGCATTGGTCACTATCGTCGGTCTCACTGCCGTGTCATGGTTACCTTGTGGGTGGTTGTGCGAATACCATTATCCAAAAATGTTTGGGGCATAGCTGTTTCTTGTGATGCAGTGAAGTGATAGAATTAATATATAATACGGAAAATATAGGGAGAATAAATTATAATTATATAAATATGGAAGTTAGGTATGTGCAGAATTATTTTATCCACACACGTGTATTATATTATATTACGTAGCGTGCATGTGATAGGATAATGTTGACTTTTGTGAACAATGAAATGGAATGATAGAAGTTTTCTTTTTTGACGCATATTTTTAAGATGCGTATATTATATGAAAAATGAAGATTATAGAATTTTTTAGAATTTCTATAATATGTAATACATAATGATAATAGTAAATATTTTGTTTAAATAATGATTTGGATGTTTTGTGACGACAAAGTGGGCATTGTCGCATTAAAAACAATTATAGGGTGACGAAAGCATTTGAAAACGTGACATTGAAAATCTGTAGTCGTCCAAAAATGATTTGATATTGAAAACGGTAATTAGTCCGAAAACGGCCCATGCTTTCGGAGACGGGATAAAAGTTCGCTTGAGTTAGGTTGACTCATATTAACTTATCTAAATGTTAGTTTTTAACTTAAGAAATCAATTTTTATTTATGAAGAAAAATAAAACGTCGTGGCTTCACACGTTTAATTAGGCTTGTTCACGTGCTCAATTGAAAAGTAGTAACACCAAGAGCCGGTGGATTAAAGAAAAGTAAAATGTCTTGTTCTTTGGATGAATTTTCTTTAAGATTATATATAAATAAAAATTGAACAATACAATGACTTTTAGATTAATGTTTAATTGGGGATAGAATGGAAAATTAATAAGTTTAATATGTTGTTCAATTCGATTTAGTTTTGAATATGAACATTTTTTTTTATTCAAATTGCATTCAAAAATGTGATATTTTGGGTTTTGAGTTCTCCCGCTCAACAATTGTTCAATTTTTAGTTTTTTTAATCAATTTAGATTCCTATTAATAAAGCCTACTCTGCAGAATTAATCTTTTACTCGTTTTGTTAAGATAAAACAAACATAAGATTTTTATTTATTTTTCTAATTTCAAAAATTTTCTTTACCTTCAAATATTGAATTTATCAAATTACGGTAAATTAATTTTAAGTGTGTAGTAGATTAAATATCAACTAATGTCATAATCTATTATTCTATTATTTAATGTAGTTTTTTTTTAATTCTATAATATTACATTATTGTTTCTACAAGGAGTTAATTTTTTGGGGTCCACGAACATACTCCATGTTACTCATTTAATGTTACCTTTTTGTCACTTTTCAAATAAATCGCGAAGTCACGGATCTGTTGTGGCAATGCCATCACAAATATTATTTTATAGAATAAAAGTATAATATACTCATTTTTTCTTTAAATGTGTTAAGTTATTTGTATCTTTCTCTTTAAATTTTAATGTAGACGAAATTGACACCATTACAAAACAAGATTTTTCAGTAAATTATTGGTACACAAGTAGAATTTTAATGAAATGTTCCTAAAAAAGTTATCATTAGAAAATCTAACATCCCAAAATTCAGGAATTCAAGTATGTCCAAAAATTCAGAAGTTGGAATGAGAAGGTTTCATCTAAAGTTAGCTGAGAGGTTCTAATTAGATCTGTTATTATTGCTTAGACGATTCCATCATATATTATTCGCTATTATGGTTTATCAAAGTTTTACACGTGTCAGAGGAGAAGCTACTCACAATAGTTTCTAACTATTTTATTAATGTATGTACGCTAAGATTTAGGAACATGTTTCTAAACACATTATTAGAATGTTTAATGGGGATGTGATTTCCGTAAGCTAATAATTATAGCTTCCGCATCCCAAAGATAATTATGCTTGACAAGTTTTCAAACAAGTTGTATTTGAGATGTTTTGCATTGCTCAAGTGGTTATCCAATTAAATTGAAATACTTATGACTAAATTTTGTTATGCCTTAAGAGAGAAAACAAAATTATTTTGCATTCCTCAAGTACTTATGGAATTAAATTGAAATCTTCATGACTAAATTTTGTTATGCATCAAGAGAGAGAAAAGAAAATTGAGATGAGACTTGAGAGAACTTTACAACATTAACATATAAAAATAATGTTTCAAATATTTTATATCGAATTTGATCGAAGAGAATCGATAGCATTTCAAACAATTTATATCGTATTTGATCAAAGAAAATAAAAAAAAGAGTAAAAATTCTTTTTTCATATAATTTTTTTATTTAATTAAACTTAAAAAAATGGATAAAAGGAAAATAGATGAGAGTAAATCTCTCCTCAACCAATTTTAAACCCTTTTATATACCAAAAAAAATCTCTCCTTATTTAAATTTGGATCCCCTCCAATTTTGAGGAAAAATGGAAAGATATTTAAAATATTTTTAGTATAATATCTAAAATATTTTTATTTGTGATTTTGAATTTAAATTATAACTACAAAAATAAATTAATTTGAAAACTCCTCCCCTCTAACCCTCTCCTTGTGAATTATATTAAAAAAAAATAGGTCAACCCAACCGTTTAAACCTGTCCTACCATTGGCCTGTCAAAAACAAGTCAGATTAGCCTACAAAGTGAAAATGAATTAGATGTCCTGGCTCACCCTGCCTAAGGGTGGGTTGACAGGCCAACAAGCCAACTTGTCAAAAAAATATAATAACAAAAAATTACATATTTATTTTGAATACCTCTTTTAACATATTCCTTTTTCAATATTTAAAGAATCCAATAAATTAGTATACCTAAATAATAAAATAAATCTCAAATCACATCATATTTGATTTGATTTGCAATACAACAAATCTCAAATTTACTTCATAAAAAAATAGATATATAATTATAATAACAATAACTCTTTTAACAAATTTATTACACAAAAAATCTCAAATTACATTTAATAAAATAAATCAAATGCATAACATGTTTGCTGCATAACAAATTACATATTACTCATATAATAAATCTCATGTAACTTAGTTAAACTTAATATTAAAAGATAATAATAATAAAAAAAATTTAAGTAGGCCAATGAATCAACCCGTTATGACCCATCATTTGACCTAACAGATCGATGGACCAAACAAGGTGAGCCAAGATGTCCAACCAGAACTGCCAATTTTTGGTGACCAATGGACCGGCGCGCACACTAACATCCCATTTTACCATCCCGAAAAAAATAGTTATCTCCTCTCTTCATTAAAATTCTTTCACTTCTCTCCTTTAAAATCCCTCTTCGTTCCTCCCCACTTTTGAACAAAAGAAACCCTTAGTGCATTCAATGAGGATCTTCTTGCAAAATAATGGTAACATATATATTCATAATAAATATGCTTCGATTACAAAAGCGATTAAAGAAAGATAAATCCCGATCATACAAAAAAAAATCCATAAAAGAAGCTTTCAGAAGCCACAAGAGGATAAAGACCGTGTTATACTTGGTCTAGTGTCATTTCTTCTGAGTGGAAAGTCTAAGGTGGGTCCTTATGGAAGATTAGAGATGGTGAATGTGTCGGATACTCAGAATTTGGAAAGATAAATGGGTCCTAAATGTCTTTGATGAGAAATTGCATAGTGGAATTGACAAGGCAGGTGTGGTGGAGGATTTAACTTGGGTTCATGATCTAATAGATAGTGATTCTGGAAGCTCGGATCGGCATAAAATTTCTAACATCCCGGGTGGAAGATGTTCCCCTGGGAGTTGAACACTTGCTGTTTGGGGAATACAATAAGCCTGATGAGGATCGGTTAAGACTTACGAGTTAAGGCAGATGTAAATAACACAACTGAAACCGCAACCTACAATTACCAGGTGTAAAGATGAAGCTCATGTTTTACTAGCAACTACATACATTCAATAAGGACAAGTATTATCAATCATATATTGCATACAGTTCAATCAAGGGTTTAAGTTTAATCAAGTAGGGCTAACCAAATATACAGTTACAGTTACCAATAACTTCACCTTCAATGCTAGTTTGTTGTAATCTTTTATTATCTTCTGAATATACAAACGTTTAAAAAGTAAATTGATGCGAACATAAATCTTGTCATCTTATTAAGATTGACATAACAATAAGCAACAAGAGAGCAAAACAAAATGACAATATAACTATAATCTTCCATTAGATTTCGTCTAAGGATACATAATAATTTTCAGTACTCTTCCCCAAAAATGATTTGGTTGCCAGCTTACTCTTCCTTATCATGATATTTCATGCTCCAACCAACCAAAAAAATAAGCCACACACTTCAACTCATGATGGCACATCATACCGCAGATCCTGAAACCTTTTCATCAAGCCTAACTTGAATCCCTCAACTTCTGCATCCTCAAGTGAATTTGGTGCAGACCTAATTATTGCGATGGCCCCGGCAAGATGCAAGGATGCAAGAGCTTCATCTATATAACAATGAAGTATTTTATCTCAGTCAAAAGAAAACAAAAGGACTAGTACCAGCAGTACTATTTTGGTTGAACTGTTGCATATTTTCAACCTCAACTATTATTTGAACTGGATTCTTAATAACCGATATATTGTCAAGAAAAGTATCCTGTATAAATGTATAATTATAGTATAAATTACACATAAGCTCGTGCACATATAACGTCCCAAAATTAATGGAAAAAATAATCTACTTTCCTTTTCATCTTTACATAACCAATATCTATTGAATAAGGATGACAGAAACTGGAAACAAAAGTTTTCTAAGCTTCTTGCAACACTTTGCTCATAAAAGTTATTCGAGCTAGAATATTATACAAATAAAAAATTAGTAAGCGGTTGGACATTTCTGGTTTACTATTTAAGACCAAGACCACTAAGGTACAATTGGTCTCAATAAACTACCACTCCACGAGCATGATAATAAGTATATTTTTAAAAAAAGGCTAATTAGTAAAGAAAAATGTGAAGTGTTAACTAATATGCATAAAAGAACACATAAATAAAAATACTTAAAATTATGATTCCACCTGACTGTGACAGTGCATCAAGTGCCTGCAATGCTGCTTTCCGTGTCCGGTCATCTTTGGCGGTGCTTAGCATATTTAAGAGTTCTTGATCTCCACCCATCTCAACTATCTTCTTCCTTCTTTCATCTTGTGAGCAAACGTAAGGTAAACAATTTTGAATATAGACAACTTATGCAGGGACAACAGATTTTAGAAGGTAATAAATCACCATGTTCTAACCTCACTAAGTTTCATGAGATACCAATATACATTGAAAAACTAAAGATGAATAAGCAGTTATGCAGTGTACATATTATATTTGCCTTCTACAGAATAGAACTCAGTTGTGGATCACTGCAATCTGTGCTATGTCATGAAAATAGTATAACTGACAACAAGGTAACTCTTAGCAATTGTGTCTAACAAATGCAGCTCAATTAAAATCTCAGTAACTGTTTCATTAACAGTTCAGGAGCAAAATTTCAATCTATAATAACTCTTTTATCCAAGTTCAAAATCTCCCATCAACTCTCCCCTTCATCCATGACTTTATCATCTCAAGAATAAGTTGAGATTAATACTAAATGACTAAATGTCACCAATGTAAAGCACAAAAATAATGAAAATATGCTTGTAGAAAGAACAATCAGTTCTAAGAAACAACTACTCTAATATACAAATGCCTAATAATTAATAAACCACAGAGTGCTTCAATATATATATTATGTGCCAAAGAACTATGGTTACCATCTATTGCAAATCGAGCTAATCTAGAAGCTCCCATCCTTTTAAACAAGGGATCCTTGACTCGCAAAAGTGAAACAGACTGTTGCATCAAATTTTCTCCTGAAAATTTTTATTTTAGCAACACTCAGGTCAGAACTACCAAGAGTAAATGAAGGGTACAAGTTGAAAATCGTTGCAGGACAATGTGAGAATACCCATATAAGGAAAGAAATGGTATCCTGCGACCCCTGCAGTCACAAAAAATATCGTCTTTAATAGCCACCCAACTTTTCTCTCAGCTTCTTCCTCGATGGATAGTTCATCTGGAAATCAAAAGAGATACAAGCGAAATTGAGAAACAGAATTGCAGTTCAGACAACTAAGAGTTTGGATAAATTTCTCCAAAAACACTACTAGGAGAGAAAGACAAAAATAAGAAGGAAAATAAAAATGAGCTTCTCCATAAGCTAAATCTAACTTGTGGAAAAGTTAAAAGAATTTAGAAAAACTAATACGATAAAGCTTCTACAAATTATTATATGCATAAGTTAATTTTAACTATCAAAAAACTCATTTCTTTTTTACTTCTCATTTTTCTATTAAAAGTTATTTTTTGAAGAAGTTTATCCAAGCATACCCTAAATCAAAAATTGAATGAAAAAAAAACCTTTTTTTTGTATTTTTACAGTGCCAGATTTTGGCCTCATTATCTAACCCCAGATATCCCCATAATCAGCATTGTCTACGTACCATTTTTACTACTAGAGCATACAAATAGAAATTTCCTTTTATATTATTCATTATTTTAAAATAGATTAGTCAAACAATTATAGGGCTTTCTCGTTCTCAACAGAATGATTTCATAGCCTGATAAATTAATTGGATATAATTTTTTTTGAAGTACCGATAGAAAAAACAAGGTGATACCTTTGCCATTGTACGATGAAAAATTACGAGATCGCAGATTAGCACCAACTTTTCTTCTGCATAAATACTGAGAATAAAACGAATTAGCTAATGGGTACTTATTACGACCCAGAAAACAAGCATCAACTTCAAACACAAATTGAAATTGAAAATGAATTATTTATTTTTACTTTTGATCGTAGAATAAGGGTTAAAATTGAACAGAAGCAAAGACTTACATTAGAGAACTGAGCTGCTAGGGCGCGCATTTTGCTGAACCTCACGACGTTCCCTAACTCTTCTTTCGTTCTTCGTCAAAATCTGCTGACACTGCAGGATCCGGACCCGAATGTCTTATCCGGGTCGGGTGTAGCTGAGTTAAGGGATTCTATTGGTAGGCCCAAACCTGACAGTTAATTTATGACTAGCATCCTGCTGGGTTGGAGATGAATGCGTCAGCCCATTTTCATATTGGATCTCGACCCATGTTGACAATGGGGTACAACAATTAAATGTGTTTCTAAGAATTGAATTTATTTTTTTAAACTGCACGATTTGTATCCATTTTTAAATTGAAGTATGAAACGATTCAAATTGAATCACACTTATATATAATTTTTTTTTCTACATACATAGTGTAGATATACATCATTAATACACAATATAAAAAAGTGTTTTATAAGTGATTGATATATGTTACAAATGATTTGGTTTGATTTGAATTTCTTGATATACTAAAATCGAATGATACTTATTTTTCTTATTTAGTTTAGATAATTTTTAAGCTAAAAGTCGAACCACACTGCCTACTACTACAAGCGCACGTTTGTGTTTTGTTGGATGATTCATGAACAAACTAATATTTTTCTTGTTTATTTACATTTTTAGTTCTCATACAACCTAAGTGTGTTTTGGTTCTCTTAGTTCTGACTGCTCTTGTAACATTAAAATTTTAAACAATGGATAACTAATATTTTCTTAAAATATAAAATTAAATGATTCAGTTATTGAATTAAAATATTTTATAAAATATATCTAATTTATGAAATTTCGTACAAATAAAATTACAAGATACTTAATCACACAGACAAATAAGCATTTAAAATATAAACAAATGTTCTTTATTATATAGCAAAGCTGTAAATATAAATTAAGTAAAATTTGATATATGATTAGAAATATAATATTAATGATTTAACAATTTGATAGGTTTTTGGTATCATTTAAAAAGTTAAATGCTGTATGTATAAAACTTTGACACCGATCGATGTTAATTGATCTTTAATATATATATATATAGTAGGATTTAGTGAGATGATTTTTTTATCTGCGGTTAAAATATAATAGTATGTAGTTTATATTAGTTAAGAGATAAAATTATATAAAAAATATGGAAAGAAAAAATACGTATCATCATTATAATACTCGTTATAGATATCACCTACATGGCTACATATATCCATGATTCCAAATCTCCAACAATCATACCAAAACATTACTTCATACGTATCATATTCATCAATAAAAGACGTTTTGAGTTGAAATCTTTTAAATAAGTGAAGATGAAAAAAAAAACATATATACAAAAATGTCATTATTTAGAGGAGTTTTGTCTTTGGTGCTTGACTCTACACACAAGAAATTATTCATCGAACAGGAACATACAGAAACTCTCAAAAACCGGGAATAGCTTGATCATCATGAAACATGTTAGTAAGAATATATATAACCTACATCCAAGCAAGATTCCAATCATACTAAAACATTGCTTCGTACATATCATCATGTTCATCAATCGAAAACTTATATCTTTTGATTCAAGTTAAACAAGCCAACTCCTTGCATATTATATATATATATATATCACTAAAAAAATTGTCATGACACTATTTTATAATACCATAATGTAAAAATTATTTTTATTTGTAACAATTTTAAAATATAATGAACATATTTAATTCTATTAATTGGTTCAAACATTTTGGATTTATAAAGTTAATCATCTATATAGTACGTAATAATGGTTATTAAATATATTTTTTATTATAGAATATTTACAAATAATAAGTTATTGGTTCCTAAGTTACATACTCAAAAGTTTTTTATACACCATCTATAGTGATAGTGAGTCTTAGGATAGTTGATTTAAGTCTAATTCAACCCTACAAAATCGACTTGTAAGGTGAGGGTTGCTTTTCACTTATATAATATTTAATTACCTAATCTCTAGTCGATGTGGGACTTGAATTTTTCCCAATACACCCCTCTCACGTCCAGCACTATTGGGCTTGGTATGTGAATAAATCGTAGGTGGCCCTTTTTTAGCCTATAACTCAACCATACAAAATCAGCTTGTAAGGTGAATGTTACTTTCCACTTATATAATATTTAATTGCCTAATCTCTAGTCGATGTGGGACTTAGGTTTTTCCCAATACACTCTCTCACGTCAAGCACTATTAGGCTTGGTATGTGGATAAATGGTAGGTGACCCTTTTTTAATGATCTAGGATTGGCGGGACTTGAATACACCCCCTCATGCCCATGGTGCATGTATCAATGAATGGTGGGTGGCTTTTTAAGAATCTAGGATAATTATGTTAGCACGATTTCATGTCCTTTGCTAGAAATTAAAAAAAAAAAAAAAAGTGAAAGTAAGTCACGCAGACGGCATGAGGCGATGGTGGTTTTCTAACTGAAATTTCCCGCCATGGGGAAACGAGAATATAACAGAATGCATGAGAAGTGTGAGTGTGAGTGAGACACTGAAATGAAGAATGCAAAAGCTTTGGAGCGAAGACGAAACCCTCTTTCGGATCTCACCAATTCTAACCCTTCCAAACCCAATCCCCTTCCATCGTCGTCTTCTTCCTCTTCCACATTCAACACCACACGCGGTACTCTCTTTTTTATTCAATCACATGTTAACTATGAATTTTTCCTTTTCGCCTAAAATTAATTCCACATTGCTATATTAACCATAACTCTTTCTTACTTTTCGAATTCAGGTACAGTTGGCCTTCATGTTTCATAGTCAATATTCCATTCTTCAAAAATTATTCATTAACACTTGCAAATCATTAATATTCTTTCTTAAGAACCTCTGTAACGTGCATAAGGACAAAACAGTTGGCGGGAGAGTTAGTTGGAGTACCAGGACACGTGGCAAAAGATTCTCAGATAGTGGAGACACGACGCAGCACTCGTGAAAGGAAGCACAACAATAAATGGAAGGATTATGTGCTGAATGGGATATAAAAAAAAATGGTATCTGGCTTCCCTCTGATTTGGTTCTTCCCTCTCTGTTCTCTCTAATTAATTCTCTTGCACTGATAGTTCTCAATTCTTTTCTTCTATGGTTCTCAGGTTCCAGGCTTGATTGAAGAATTACACTGCATCTGACGTTTTCAAGTTTCTGTTATTGTGGCATTTCGCTGTTGATTTTTGAATTTTCTGTTGGCATAGTAAATAAAATTCACAAACATTTCAACCTCCTTAAAATCTTTCTCAAAAAAAAAAAACCTTTCACCTCTTCTTTTATGACTTTTAGACTCGAATCTACAACAATTAAAATGTGAGGTAACATCAAAATGAATGTTCTTACATAGTGCCTTCCCCCTACCATTGCTACTTAATTTTTTATTTTCACATTAGATCAAGAAAAAAAAAGTATTCTCAATTCCCTTTTTGTTTATGACACTTAATGATGTTTGAAACTTCGTAATCTTATTTGCATTTGAAAAAAGTGGCAATCTTCTGTGAGTTCTTTCTTACTTACCAAAATAGGTAGGAGTGATGACTTTATATTCTCACCAGAGCAACCACCATATATATTTTCTCTCACAACCAAACTCTCCTTTTTTAACCCATTATTCGATATGATAGTTTTAGTTTGAACGTTAGGACCTCAATGGTTAGACCAAGCATCCTTCTCGCAACTATTGTTTTCTTCATTTCTAGTTCGTTGCATGTGTTGGTTGAAAGGAGACAAGTTGTGAGTGGAAAACATTTCATTGGAGATATTTAATATTGGTAGAAAAAAAGATGCTACAGTTCCCTTTAATTGTCCTTTACATCCTTTTGCTTTTATCTATTTTCACTATTATTTTATTTCAAAATTAAATTAGAAGAAAATACTATCATTTAAGTCCTTGTTGAACTAGCCATATGTGTCCATCTAAGTGATAAGTCAAATCACTCATTGTGTGGCACATATCGTGCCAATTAATGAGTTAACTAATGAAGTTAATGTTCCACTGATAATAGGGACCAACTTGAGTGACAAAAATAAAAGTTGAGGATTAACATTTCATTTTTCTTAACTCAGTGTCTACTTTGACAACTGCTCAAATTTTTTTACTCTATTTTATTTACAGGGTGCATTTAATACACACTAGGTTATTGGGCAAAGAAAATATCACAGGATAAATGCTTAATTTATTAGACAACTTTTTGTTCTATACACCACTTGGTGAATAATAGACAACATAAATAAAATAACATTAAATTTATTATAATAATTTTAATATTAATTATCCTAATGAATTATTATTATTATCATCTTAACAGTGCAATGGTGGTGAGAATTGTGATAACTATAATACCAATGGTGGTGGTGGTTGTAGTAGCGATGACAATAACAATGATAGTGATAAGGATAAGGTAGTGGTGAGTTACAACAACAGTGGTGTTAAGTGGTGATGATGGTGTGTTAAGTGGTGATGATGGTGTGTTAGGTGGTGATGATGGTGGTGTTAGGCAGTGATGGGTAAGGATTAGGATGATGTTGGTACAATGACACGGTAGTGAATGGTTTTCCTTGGGAAAAAAAGTTGTCTCATGGTTTCTTAAGTAAAAAAAATAGTATTTTTGTCCTTTTTCTTCTTCCTTTTTTTTTATCATGTCCCATAACCCTTTTGTAAATCAAACATCAAACAATTATTTTCATCTTGTCCAATACCATGAATTTTAGCGAATTAAACACACTCATAAACAAATATATTAATAATTAGTATTTTATGTTAGTTAACTTTGAGAAGACTCAAACCCACATCACCTTATAACTTCAGCCTTTATGCCTTCTCCCAAATCACCATACCATCTTGTAATTCCATCTATGGCTATATTTATTTAAATTATTTTGGAATAGTCATTTCAAAATAATAATGATTAGGGCATGATATAATAAGCTCGATGCAAGAAGAAATTATATGTAATAAGTATGTAGTTTGAATTAGAGCTATTAAATTGGTTAAGTCAATCCAATATACTCCCTCCACCCCACAATAAATGTCATCTTAGATTATTTTACTTAGACCAAGAAAAATTAATAAATAGATAAAAGAGAATATATTACAAAATTAATCTTATGATTAATTATTTTTTTTTACTAGAGACGATGCAACATAACAACCATTTTCTTAAGTATTATCATACCTTTATTCCTTTTTAATAGTCATTTATGGTTGTTATATAATAAACATGATAAATTTTCTTGTTTTCCATAAAATGATCATATTTTTTTTTCTTATTATACCTTCTTTTACTTTTGCTTATGATAAATTTATATTACATAGTGTTTGGTTGGAAGGGAATGGAGGAGTGGGAAAAGAGAGGGGGGGGGGG